GCTTCCCAAAGTTCCGCCAAAGCTCTCTGAGCCTAAGTTCTCTCTCTCTCCCGGCTCCGGGCTCCGGCCTTTTTAAGGATTGATTCCACGGGGAGGCGTGGTGGAAGACCCCTGATCGACCCCATTGGCTGAATTGAATTCACCTTGGCCTAGGTGGGCCAATTCAAGTTCACGTCCACCCCTGCCTACTGGTGGGAACCCTGAGCATATGCAGTGTGCCACTTCTTTGTTTCCCTAGCTTGGCCCTCTGGGCATGCGTTAACGGACATTCCCAGCCCTTTGCTAATCTACCTAACATAATCTTAAATTGTATAATGGTGAACTGTATAGGAAAACATTAAGACCATTGTTAAATGGTATATAAATTCTAGATTTCAAAATGAGTAGGGAAAAAAAAAAATGAGTAGAGACCCAGAATGCTCATATTTTAAAGTGCAGTTATTTAAAAGTGCAGTTATTAGTGGGCAGATCATGGTGATGAAACATACAGATAGTTACATTTTACTTTTAATATCTAGTTAACATAAATCCGACTTTCCCATTTAAAAAAAACTAGTTTATTAAGAATATTGGATCATTCAAGCAAAAGTAGGACTGTGAATGATAATGTTGGAAAAACACATAAGGACTTACCACTAAAGAATTCCAGAAGCCCTTTTCTGACCAAGACTGTCTTTTGGTCACCTGTCCATTATGTTAAGTCCATGGATTTATGTTTATTTCCTCAGTAGCGCCCACCACCCATTCCTTGTTTACAGTGAGGGCCTATCTTTTTTTTTTTTTTTATGTGCTGCTTCTTCATTTGACTCATAGGCTTCTTGAAAATGGGGATCTGGATCCCAGCTTCTTAACGTACTCCCTAAGGCCTAGTACAGGCCTTTGCATGACACACAAAAGCCCCTCACATGTGTGCTTAATGAAAAAAATGTGTTAAAATGAGTATCACTTAAAACAGTTTTATTGGTGTATGGTTCACAAATTCTACGATAGCCCCATCATGCTACGAGAGTTGTACCATTATCACCACAGTTTTAGAATTTTTCTTCCTTTTTTTCAGTATCATCTCTTTTATTTTATTTTAATCATGTTATTGGGGCTCATACAACTCTCATCACAATCCATACATACATCAATTGTGCAAAGTACACCCACACATTCATTGCCCTCATCATTCTCAAAATTCATCCTCCTCTCGAGTTCCTGGAATCAGCTCATTTTCCTTTTTCCCCTCTCCCTCCCTCCACGGTCCCCACTCCCTCATGAACCCTTAATAATTTACAAATTATCATTTTATCTTATCTTACACCGGTGTCTCCCACTGTGGGGTCCTGGTTTACAACTGCCAGCACCAGCTACATGACAGGCTGTATAAAACCAAAGTCTGGGGTAGACCTAAGTTTCAGTTTCAGGTTCCTGGTCACTGATGCCACTCCGTCGGATGAGACATCGCCTGTTCCAAACGGACCAATGGGACGCACCGCCTGATTGCAGACTAACCAGCGGAATTCAAACAACCCGCCACCGACTGACCAATTGGTGAAGCACCGCGAAACTACTCACCAACCACCGCTGGACATCGCTGGCGCCAGAAGCTCCTCCAATGAATTCAAGGAACAATGACATGGGACCTTCCCTGTTTCCCCCACCCTATAAAAGCTAGGCTACCAAAGCACTCAGGGCCGATTCCCTTTTGGACGCTGGGTCCCCGCTGCGCCGGGTGGTCCTGTTCATTGCTTGCACCTGAGGTGAGCTCGCCTTCCTTCCCCGAATCTAACACCCTCACCCACCCCTCCATTGACCATCCCCCAGAGAAAAGGTCACATGCAGATCCCTGTGATTGATTCCCCCTTTCTACCCCGCCTTCCCTCCCAGTATCACCACTCTCGCCGCTAGTCCTGAGGGGTTCATCTGTCCTAGATTCCCTGTGTTTCCAGTTCCCATCTGTACCAGGTTTGCAAGGTAGAATTGGGATCATGGTAGTTGGGGGGAGGAAGCGTTTAAGAACTAGAGGAAGATTGTGAGTTTCATTATTGCTACCTTGAACCCTCAGTGACTCATCTCCTCCCCACTACCCCTCTGCAAGGGATGTCCAGTTTGTAAAGGTGGAACTTAGCGAACAGGGAGGAAGACGGACATAACTGACAGGACAAGGGAGAGCAGAAACAGAAATAGCTTTATTAGGGGTTAGGGGAGCTCCCGGATGAGGTTCATTGACCTAGGCCAACAGGTCAGGGAAGTCATGCTCAGCAGCTGGGGGTGGGGGTTTTTAAAGGAGTGGTGAGGAATGTATGGAAATTAGCATATGGGGTCTGGAAACTGGGAGAATCACTTGACTCCTGCAGGCGGTCTTTGAACCAGGAACATCAGGTTTCACTGGTTATCTTCTCTGGCACCGACTGCTGCTGACCTCTGGGACATGCAGGGAAGCATGTGCAGGGCACGAACCTGCTTCAGCTTAGTCCAAAAGGGGGCTGCGTAGTTCTGAACTGACCCAACAGAGTTGTCTACAGATGGACATTGGGTCCCCATCACGTGCTACCCTCACTCACGATATGATCCCTGCCACCACCCCCTGCCTTTGGTGCTTGATATCTGGTCCTTTCAGCCCTTCATGATCACACATGTTGGTTGGTGTGCTGCTTCTGTGTGGGCTTTGTTGCTTCTGGGCTAGATGGCCGCTTGTTTACTTTCAAGCCTTTAAGTCCCCAGACGCTATAGGTCTTGATAGCTGGGCACCATCAGCCTTCTTCACTACATTTACTTATGCACACATTCGTCTTCAGCGTTTGTGTGGGGAAGGTGATCACACAATGATGGTTTTTGTTCTTTGGTGTCTGCTACCTGATCCCTTCAACATCTCGTGTTCACACAGGCTTGTGTGCTTCTTCTCTGTGGGCTTTGTTGCTTCCGAGCTAGATGGCCGCTTGTTTGCCTTCAAGCCTTTAAGACCCCAGACGTTATATCTTTTGATAGCTGGGCACCATCAGCTTTCTTCACCAATGCACACGTCTGTAATCAGCGATCATGTCGGGTAAGGTGGAATCTACAAAGAGACTGGACCACATGCCAGCCCTAACCAGAATTAGCCCGACCCCGCCATGGGAGGGAGTACCCACAGAAAATGGAAATAGATCGTCTGGTTTGAGAAAGGAACTGACCTACCACACTACACCCAGAAGGAAGCTGAAGCAAAGGAAGGAGGAAGAACGGAGAGGAGCACACCTGGGCCCAAGCTCAGAGGGTGATAGCCCGGCTCTGAGGGTCCAGTGTACAGAGGACCATATAGCCGGCCCCACGGCGAGATGTGACATCCTGCACTGAACCATGGCTCTACACGGGACAGCACCAGACAGTGTGGCATGTGCGACTGAGCTGACCCCACCACACTGAGGCAAAACACTGGGGGCGTGCAATGGAGCGGTGGGGGGAAGCAGAGCAAGGAGGTCCCAAGGGAGTACAAAAGGATGGACTTTGGAGGCAGGACGTGGCACCCCATCAGACTTGTCTGGAAAACACTCTTAAAGGTCAACAAACAGACCTTGAACTTCTAACAGGCTTTTTTTCCCCTTTCTTTTTCCTCTTTTCTGCCTTGTTTTCTTTTTTTCCTCTTCTTTTAAATTTTGTATGTCAGTGGCTTTTTTGTTTGTTAGCTGCTGCTGCCGTTGTCGCCATGTTCTTATGTGCCACTTCGGTGTTGTCAAAGCCATCCCCAATTTTATGCGCATATTAATGTCTGCAGGTCCACCTATATAAGAGAGGCTGGACAAACAATGTGAGAAGAAAATAAAGGGACCAACGGTCCCAGAGGGACATGAGAGTGTGGGAGGTAGGGGAAGGGAGGAGGTGCTGGCCAACCCAGGGACAAGGGAACAATGAGTGGTTCAAAACCAATGGCAGGGAGGGGAGGGGAGGACTGGTAGGGAGTGACCAAGGGCAAGGTAACTGAGAGGAATTACTGAAACCAGAATGAAGGCTGAACATGGTAGTGGGGACAGGAGGAAAGCGTAAGGAAATAGAGGAAAGGAGTAGGAGGCAAAGGGCATACATAGAATCCTAAATACAGGCATGTACATATGTAAATATATTTAAGATTATGGGGGAAATGGACCTATGTGCATATATTTATAGGTTTAGTAGTAGGGTGGCAGGTGGACATTGGGCCTCCTCGTGTGCATTCCCTTAATACAAGAGCACCTTGCCCAGCTAAACGGTCATTTCATGATACCCATTTTTTGTTCTCCCATCATTCACATTCCTTGATTGGGTAAGAAGTCCAGAAGAGCTGGACGAGAAGATCAATCCAATCCTGTGTCATGTTTTCTCCTCCTTTCCCTACTCTCCAGTGAAATGTGTCATCTGATGACTGTAAGCTTAGAACGGAGACATTATTTTTAGCCTCCTTGTGTTTGACATTCTAAATAGTGATTACTACCATGTGCAGGATACAATGGGTTATAGAAAAGTCAGGACAGCAAAAAGAAAGGGGATTTACAGCCCCCATTGTCCTCTTTATCTTATACAAAGTATAATGTCCAGGCCAGACTATCAAACATAATTCATAGACAATGCATTCTAAAACCAGAAAGATTTACTAACATATAAAATCAATTACATCAAGTGGGAGAAAAATTGACTCATAGCTATTTCTACCACTTTGAAGACCCCTGTCACTTTTCAACAATAAGAATAGGGTAGTTTTGTCCTACCCTCTTAAGACAGACATAGTGATGTCTAGAGGAAACAGCAGTTTTACCATGTCTTTGAAGGCACCTATTCCTAACTAGTTTCATGACCCTTAAGGTAACCCTCCATAATCTTTCTCCCTGTTGGCTTTGTGATTGTTGGATAGTTTTTTTGTGGGAGGGAGGGGACATATCTTCAGATTGGAATCATTTTCAAGATCTTATGTTTCTACTAAGACAGAAAAACAAGAACTTAAAGGTAGGGCGATTAAAACAATATAAATGTAAGGAAATAATTACAAAACAAAGGTAAAAAGATTATGGTTGTCAATTTTAGTATTTATTGAAAGGTGGAAGACAAGGAAAATTCCTCTCAAACTTCATAAACAAATCTTGCACCTTTGTTAAATGCAAAATGAATTTTAAGATATTTGCTTTACATGACAATGAACCGTCTAAAAAATAATTGAATGCAAATTTACCAGAAACAGTGCTAATTTATTATTTACAAAAATGATGATACCTTTCACAACTATAGAGGGAAAAAATATTTTACACTCAGGAACACTAATAAAATACTTTGACTTATTTAATAACCAAAAAAATAAATCTTTTCTACTCTCCACATGTCTCCCAAAAGTTAGAGTGGATTAAAAATTAATGTACATGGAAACAAATGTATTTCCAATAGAAACACACGTGTGTACACACACACACACACCACACACACACAAGTGTTGTGCTAGATCAACCTAATCTTTATTTAAGGCCAACAGCCTTAGTGACAAGGAGCTAGTGAATATGGCTTTAGAGAGTTTTTAACTAAATATCTCAAATGCTTAGTTCATTTGTTAGCTAATCAGCTAACCTGAGCATGGAATATGCTACTTAGATAGCTAAAAGGGTATGAGCAACAACAAAAAAGCACTGTAATAGACACCAGTAAGGTACCTTAGTTTTTCCCCCAAAGGTCTATGTATGAAATTAATAATTTACATGACAATTGATTATTTTATATAGTATATGATATCAGAAACTGTATCTTAAATGCTTTATTGTTCTGGTCCAAGAAATTGAAAATAAAAGCGGGAGGGGGAAAAAAGCCATGTTTAGATAAAGAGCTGGAATGTACTAACTAGGAAACCATTAATATAATACAATATTAAAATAGAAATTATTTGTATATAACAAAGGTAGTCAATAGTTTCTCAAGATTACATAGAAGAGACTTTTAAAATTATAACCCGTAAAAACAAGGAAAATAAGCATTATTCAAGGCAATAACAAGGTTGTATCTTGAAATCTGAGCTCATGAACCATGAATTATAGTCAACCTCCCCAGAAAAGTTCGCATTTTATGCATCAGAATTTCAAATTATGGAGAAGTTTTAACTATAAGATATACACAAAATTATACCTAAAAGCAACCACTATGGTTGTTTTTGATAAGCTTTCCTTTAAGGCTCATATATTTTAGAGAGGTACCTTAAGACATTACAGTATGATCTCATGCATCTAATAAATTTTCCTGGAAAATTAAAAATAAAAACAAACCTAATATGTTGCCCTTCAATTAAAAACAACAAAAAACAAACCCCAGAAAAATAACCACATTCCCTATTTTTCACTACTGATTTGTTATAAATTTTTGTCTTCCAAAAAGGTAGGCACACATCTATAAATTTAGCTAGCAAATAGAATATTAAAGAGGTAGGGAGGATAGGACTGCCACATATAAAACAAATCTTTATTTACATGATCATGATTTATGTCTTTTCCACTCCAGTGACACTTCCTATATTAAAAATATTGATTTCCTGCACAGCATCTGGATTTCCTACAATATTTCCCTACCCTTTTATTAATTTGGGAGCTAGAATTATTATCATTTATGCAGTTAACTTTTTTTTGGTTCTGGTGAAAAACCTTTTTTGTTTAAGTGACTTTCTCCATAACCAGAAAGATGAATCATTTTTATGGGTACTACAAATGAGGCTTAGCAGAAACCACTAAAATGGATGGCAACAATAGTCCAGAAGGCAGCACAAATACTACCAGATAAAGTCATCAACCAAAGTACAAATCCAGAGCAACACCAAAGACAAAATAAAACAGATTTGTGATGTATGGAGCTCCTTGCACTAACGCATGTATCAAAGACATTTAATGGACTTTCAATTACAGAGTAGAAGTCTCAATCAATGCTAAGTTCATTGTTATATTTATTTCTCTGCCTAGGCACTAGCAATCCTTTTTCCTACCTTAACTTTTTATTCTAGAGCCTCATTTATGAAGGAAGCACTTCAAGATGTTTGCTTTGCTAGGGTATAGAGGGAGGTCCTGAGAAAATTGAGGTACCACATCTTATTTTCTTACTTTTAGCTCTGATTATGGCAGTTGAGTTACTGATCTCTGATCTTATTTTACAACTGTGCATTTGCCAAATTTTCCTCTCATTTTACATGAAATGAGGATCTTAATCACTCCCAATTAAACATTTTTAATGAAAGACTTTTACTCCACTATAATTAAAGTACAAGTGGCTAAAGCAGTAAAAAAAATCTCTCCTCATTATATCATTCCATGCACTATAAAGAAAAATTATTTTAGAGCTATGTAATCCCGTCACACAATTTCATTAATTAGAAGCACTAGATATCAGCAACAGACTTTATTTCTCCTTTTTAGAAGTGTTTCTATTATCTAAACTGCTTTCTTAATGTTTAATATAAATATTTTTAAATGTATCCGGGAGGAGTGCTGAGAAATTTCACATATTCATTTCATTCAGTAACCTAAGAAATTATGCAATATGATAATACATATATACAGGCCCCATACACACACACACACACACACACACACACACACACTCATAAAAGAACCTTGGTTTTTAAAAACACTTGCACAGTGTGGAAATTTAAATAGTCACTAGATTTGAATACTTGTATTTGTACTCCATTACCACTCTAAATGGATACATCAGCAGAGAAAAACATAATATATCAGATAAATGATTTAACTGAATGTCGATTTGTCTTTTTGCAGACCCAACAGAAAATGTCATTTCGTATGAACCTTTATTAAGTGGCTCACATTTCCGTATAAATCACACTACAAAAGATTCTTTAAAAAAAAAAAAAAAAAGCTATTTACACTATAGTGCTGAGACATTTCAAATAAAAAAAAAATCTGTATAAATAAGCTCTATGGGAAAAGCCTTAAATTGTAAAAGGATTCTGGCTCATAATACAAAATGTGTGTGTGCGCGCGCGCGCGTGCGCATACATAAATGTCAGCTCTATTCTAAAACCTACTCAAATGATCTAAAGAATATTTATGTTTAAACCTGCAATGTTTACAGTGCATCTGGCCCTAAGTGCTTTAATACTTCACAGTTATGGACAGGCACTGAGGAATGTTACAAAGCTACATAGACTATGTTTTGTAACAGACTTGGGAGCAAGCCCTTGGCTTGCTTTTAGAATTCATGAATCTTTATTACATTATTAAACTTTTTTAAAAAGAAAAGAATTTTAAGTGGTATGTACAAATTTAGCACAAAATGTCATCGTCTTTTCTATCTTGATTTGAATATGTTGAACCATGTTGTCTTGTTTCAACGAGACTAGTCTGACTTCCAGCACACAATTCTTCCCTTACATCTTTGTTTCTATTTTCAAACTTAGGGTCCACCTCAGCCTTACTTTCTGTAAAGTGAACATGATCCGATTTTGCTCTAGCATTCTTGCCGTCCGCATTACCAGATGCTCCAGTCTTTTCAGAAACGTTAACATTCATGGGCTCTTCCTTGATTCTTACAGATGTAAAAGGTTCATGTTTAATTTTCTGTAATTCATATTTAGAATGAAGTTTGTCTGAAAAAACAGACTCCATGGAGGTTTGGCTTACAGCACAAATCATGCTGTCAGTGTGAGGTCCAAGAACGGATGATGTGAGAACTGACGATGTACTTGTTTCAGGAGTCGCTGTATTCTGAGAAGTTTCATCCTCTGAGTGATATAACTTAAGACGAACATGCCAGGCTAAACTGCATACAGCTGACACTGTCTTGAACTGATGCACAACATTCCTTGGGATGAAATAAATGTCATTATCATACAGCTGAATCCTGGCATAGCGAATACCTTCCCGCCTCAGTTGATTGAGTTTTGCATCATCAACCCACTGGACACACTGAAAAAAGAAAACAAACAAGAAATGCAAATAATTAGTCTTTACAGCAAAAAAAAGAAAGACAAAAAATTAAACCAATGACAAAATATATTTAAAACATACCTGGGACAGTGGTGGTTCATGTAAATCTAACTGCATTCGCTGAACTACTTCTAAGAAATCTTCAGCATGAAAACAAATTACATCTTTGGTTATTCGGGGTTGATCAGGCCTAAACAGAAGATGAGATAAAATAGAATTATCCATTAATGTTTCTTGGCCTATATTAAATTATAAACAAACAAGATTTATAGTCAAAATTAAAGTGCTGTTTCAAAAATAAAAGTTCAATGACAACTGAAAGACCACTTTACATAAAGTATGGCATCATAAACAGATAAAACACAACTCAATTTTATTAAAGATATTTATTTTACTATAAATATTTTGAAAAGTAAGATATTTGCATTAGTAAATCATACAAATACAGAAAGCTAAGAGCTTTGGTTTAAACTTAAAGTCAATCATACTTCAAAAATTCCATGGCTAACGTTGACTGCAAAACTGCATAAAAAATAGATATCAACATGGGGGAAAGGGAATACTTTCTGATTATTATGCATCATTCATAGTAGATACTGGAAGTAACTGTAATGACACATAAGACTCACAAGTAACTTCACATATTAAGAAACATTTATCAGGAAATTAACAACATAATAAACTTGTGGTGGGGGAACCGATTAAAATGATCTACGTATACCCCCCTCCCAGGGGGATGGAAAACAGAAAAATGGGTGAAGGGAGACATCAGTCAGTGTAAGACATGAAAAAAATAATAATTTATACATTATCAAGGGTTCATGAGGGAGGGAGAGTGGGATTGGGAGGGGAAATAATGAGCTGACACCAAGGGCTCAAGTAGAAAGAAATGTTTTTAAAATGATGATGGCAAAATATGTACAGATTTGCTTCACACAACAGAAGTATGTATGGATTATGATAAGAGCTTTATGAGCCCCCAATAAGATGATTAAAAAATAAATAAGTAAATAAACATGTGGTGTTTGTTGAAACTAGTAGTGTTCTTTTAAACAATTCTAAAATATTCTCAGATTATTAAATTAATGAGGAGTATAGAAAACACTCTCTTATAGAAGGTGCTCAAAAGGACTTTTCAGAATAAAATCCCAAGCAACACAAAGACTCACACCAAGGAAAATCATAATGCAATTTGTAAAAGACCACAGAAAAAAAGAGAAACCTACAAGGGAGGATGAATAAGAATCATCACAGACTTATCAGAAACTGCTCACTAGAAGGGAATGGAATGCTTTTAAAGTGCTGCATTAAAAAAGGTCAACCTCTAATTCAATATCCATCAAAAATAGGAAAACATTTTTAGATATAAGTTGAAAGACTGCATTGATCTATACAAAGGAGCGCAGACCATCAATAAGAATTAATATGAAATATGAAAAATATTTTAGTCTCATTTAAAAATTTCTCTTAAAGATAATTACAACTTATTCCAATGAATTGTAGGGTTTAAAGCTAAAGTTTTATGCATGACAACATTTAGCACAAAGGCCAGAAAAGGAGAAAGTATTAATTGGAATTATATCGTTAAAATATTAATTGGAAGTATATTGTTAGAGTATATTGTTAATAAAGTATTAATTGGAAGTATATTAAAAGTATATTGTTAAAAGTATATTAGAAGTATGTTAATTGGAAGTATACTAAGTGGAAGTATATTGTTAAAAATATTAATTGGAAGTATGACAAAATATACTATTATTATTTGTGGTAGATTGCGATAAGTTTGGAACAACCAACTAAATAAGCAAAATAAAAAGGTAAACACTGGTGCTGCCAAGTCAGTTCTGACTCACAGAGCACAAAAGAATGAAAGACTGCCTGGTCCTGCGCAATCCTCACAACTATTATGTTTGTGCCCCTTGTTGCTGGGGCAGTGACTTATGTACTGTGGTTTTTCTAGCTAAAGTCTCTCCCACCAAATGACCTTTCCCTGCATGGGTCTGGTAAGAAGATAGAAGACAATGATAGGATTCAGGTGTGAGTAAGTTCTCTCAGGAGGAGGAGGGATCTCATTACCGGAAAGAGGCAGGAGTAGAATATGTCCTCTGGACCTGAGATCCCTGCATAGTGAACCTCCTGGATCCAGACAGCAGCTACATCAGAAAAGCAGCAACAGCACCAGGAGGCAGAACATGAAACCGTGATGGGCTCCCCAAACCACAGAGCAACTAAGCTGAGGGCTTTTGTGCAGGAGGCTGGCTTGTGGAGTGGGATGCCTCTTGGCACTTAATTCAGGGAACTGGGTTTACTGACCCATGGAACTTCAGCTGAATACCTTCAAGTTGAGGCTTAAGAGTGCAGTGGTATGCTCGTTAGGCCTTAGCGCATTTATTAACAGTCCTGAAAGAACTTTGTAACATGTCCTGGTAAGCCACTCAACCCTGAGCACTTCTCACCGGTATTACAATTTGTTAACTTCCTTAATAAACCCTTTAATCACGAATTTTGTCTGTGAGTTCTGTGTAGACATTGCAATGGACATTAGAACCCAGAGAAGTGAAATAGAGAACCTTAAATTAAGGCTTAACAGTTATAGCTTCTTTGCCATTTTATCTCTTTGAGGGTCTTTGTATTTTTTCGTGCACTTCCACTCTTCCAGGGACTAGTCTTTCCTAGTAATATGGGGAGGTACCAGAAGAAAAAAAAAAGTAAAAAGGCTCCCCCCATTGGGCGGAGCTTTCCTAGTATGCATGTTTCCCATAAAGCAGCTAGGAAAGCATCAAGCATCTGAGTTAGTACACTAGTGGCGTCGCCTGGGAAGGTTCTCTCTGGTCAGTGAATTTTTTCGTAAAAGCAATTTTGCTTGAACTTTTTGTGTGTGTGATGGCCAATTTTAGGGAACAGCATGCAGCTGTGAAATTTTGTCACCTGCTTGGGAAAAATGCTGCAGAAACTTGTGATGTTGAACACAGCTTACAAGGACAGGACTGTGGGAAAAACTCAAGTGTACGTGGTTTTCTCATTTCAAAAAAGGCGAAATGTTGACTGATGACAAACAGCTCCAAAGTGACCCAGACTTTTTCCTCAAAGTCATTACTGGTGCTGAAACATGGTGCTATTATTACCACCCTGAAAGCAAACATCAATCAAGCCAATGGAAGACGCCATCATCACCTCATCCAAAAACAGCTCATCAAGTGAAATCAAAGATCAAAACGTTGCTCATTTGTTTTTTGATATAAGGGGGATGCTGCATTTGAAGTTTGTTCCTTCCAACAGGTCAGACTGTTTGCCATGCTTTCTATTTAGAGCACTGTTCCTCAACCTGTGGGTCATGACCCCTTTGAGGGTTGAAAGACCTTTCACAGGGGTCACCTATTCATAACAGTAGCAAAATTACAGTGATGAAGTAGCAACAAAAATAATTTTATGGTTGGGGTCACCCTAACATGAGGAACTGTATGAAAGGGTCGTGACATTAGGAAGGTTGAGAACCACTGATTTAAAGATTCTGAGAAGACTACCTAACAGTGTGCAACAAAAAAGGTCTGATTTGTGGCAGACAGGGGATTGGTTTTGCTACAAGGCACCTGCTCATGCAGCCAGTTTTGGCAAAAACAGTGTGCCTCTCTTGTCCGTGAACCTTATTCACTTGACCTCACTGCATGCTACTTCTTTTTGTTTCTGCAAATGAAGAGGGACATGAAAGGACAGTGATTTGAAGACGTAGAAGAGGTGAAAGTGTAATGGAGAATACTTTGAAGATGATATGGTTGTTTTGTAAAAAAAAACTTAAAATACATTAGCTTTGGGGAGGGGGGTAACCTCTCATATGTCTAAAACACATGAGACAAAGTCCTTGCTTCTACACATTCTGGGTGTACGTCTTCCAAGACAACTTGTTTGTTCTTCTGGAAATCCATAGTACTTTCTTTGCCATCTTCATAATTTAAATGCATCAGTTCTCATGTTTTTTTAATTGAAAAAGGCATGGCTTGAGTGAGGCATACTCTAGTACTCAAAGTACAAAGGTTTAACACACTTAACTGCTATTTGAAAGATTTGCATCTACCCAGTGGTCCCTCAAAAGAACACCTGGCAATCTACTTCTGAAAAATCAGCTACTAAAAATCCAGTGGTGCCCACATACGCGCCAGACTGACTTAATGGCAATGAATGAATACCTGAATACCTAACCACTGGAGGATGTGCTTTTTAAAAAGTACACAGAGTGGAGGGAGGGTGGGGTAAAGAGGGGGAACTGATTACAGGGATCTACATATAACCCCCTCCGGACAACAGAAAAGTTGGTGAAGGGAAACGTCAGACAGTGTAAAATATGACAAACTAATTATCTATAAATTATCAAGGGTTCATGAGGGAGGGGGTAGGGAGAGAGAAAATGAGGAGCTGATGCCAGGGGCTTAGGTGAAGAGCAAATGTTTTGAGAATGATGAGGGTAACGAATGCACAAATGTGCTTTATACAATTGATGTTATGTATTGATTGTGATAGGAGTTGTATGAGCCCCCAATAAAATGATTTTAAAAAATAATTAAAAATAATGAAGTACAAAAAACACAAGCAAACAGAAAAATAGAAAACGCTAATGAAATAAGAGCCGGATTTTTAAGTTCAATAAAATTGATAAACTTCTAGCAACTTATTAAAACAAAATTTTTTAACAATATAAGAGGGCTTCAACAAGTTCATAGAAAAATTCCATCATAATTTTTTTGGCCTCCTCAAAAAAATACTTTATTGTTCACTGGGTGAAGTTTTACAGGCCAGATTATAGTCATACATTCAGTAATGTATATACACATGTTGATTGATTTGTAATTCCCTCGATGTACTACCATCACAACCCATTTCTTCCCTGTGGTTCCTGTTTCCAATCCCTCCTTTTCTAATCCTCTGAACTTTGCCATCGAGTAAAAGCTGCCCTTTTGATCACAAATGGTAGATTATTTTAATGTAGCGGTGAGTTCAGTTCCAGACCTGAAGGGTAAGGACCACAGTCTTGGGAATCCCGCCTGTCTTTATCACTAGCCTTTTTTATGAGAAACCCACTACCTTTTAATTCCATTTTCCACAAACTTTTGAAGAACTTTCATACCAGGCAATTGAATACTGTACTATATAAGCCATAATGTAAGAGAACTTTAAAACATACATGGAAAAATGGAG